TAATACAAACACTTCAATTTGTCACAGTCTATCGGAGGCATAATGAACACAGGTCAGAAGTCAGTAAAAATGGGAGAGATGCGAGCTGCTTGTGATAGCAACGCCAAACACTAAAGTATGTATGAGACGGCCAAAAGTACAGATATAAAGCTCCACTACTCAATGTACCGCAAGGGAGGGGAGTTGCTGATGAAACGGCCAACACGTAACGATTCGAAAGGTTCCAAAGACAGTGGTTCGACTGAATGCCACAGGCGGTTCGGCTTCAGACGCACCAAGTAACAGGACCTTTGAAGGACGTTTCGCAATGGTTGAAGACTGCAACTCTGCCAGCCAAGCTCTCCTTTCTTCCGAGATTTAAATAAGCCCAGCCCCATACTCGAGCTCACTGCTGCACCTACTTCCTCCCTCTACTCGCCGGAGCTTCTCAACATTCTATCCATCTAGCACTAAGGCTTTCCAAGTTTGCAACTGTTCAGATCTTTAACCAAGGCATTTAGGAAAACAAATGAAGGTTCAAAAAGATGGAAAACTACACAGTTGCCTTGTCAAAAGAAGGACAAACGCTGTGATCCGCGACTCACTACTGGAAAAAAAGACCGCAGACGAGCATTCACGCTTCTCAGCTGGAGTTTTCTACGGTTGCCTTTTCATATTTTAATATTCAAGTGTAACAATTTTTGGCTTTTCCCCGACAGAATTTTTAGAATAAAAAATCAGTAGGACTACTTGCAAACTGAATTAGTAATCCGTGACGCTTGCTATTATTGTCATTATCATTATTATTATTATTATTATTATTATTATTATTATTATTATTATTATTATTATTATTATTATTATTATTCCCGTTATTATTACTATTATTATTATCGTTATTATTACTATAATTACTGCTACTGTTATTATTATTATTATTGTTGTTGTGAAAAGGAAATACCTCTTTTGAGAAGCACACAACTGTACGAAGAATGAATTCAGCAGCAGCGGAATAATGGCAACGAAAATGAGATAAAGCCAATCGTAGAGAGGTAAGAGATCAACACAGGACGAACAAAGCAACTTGTCGATACTTCGATAACCCCAATTGCAAGCCTGCAAAACAACTCAACTCACCGCACTCCGTACAGCATCCCTTTCCACCACTCAGCAGATGCGTATGCCAACAGCAAGCACTTACTGCAAATGACTCTGATCCAGACAGACCACTGCCTGCCCACTGCCAACAGTGAGCAAGAAGCTTAAATAGGAAAGAATGACAGCGAAGCTGCGTACGAATGGTGCCTCTCTTCACATCCTCACTTCCCCTCCGAACCGCCACATCCATCGTGTTGCTCAAATGTCCAGTGAGCACAAGGTTAACATGCAAATAATCCTCTCCATCGGCCGAAAAAGCATACCTGACAATCCGAATATGTTATGTTGCCAGGCGACCATGTGAACGCTTGACGGCCACAGAAACCGGGGCAACTGCTCAGTGAGACTAATCTTGGCACCCCCGTCCCATCTTCTACCATTTTATGACATACCTGCAAAGCAAGCAAAAATGGAAACGTGCAAACATCAAAGAATAAGACGGCAGCAAGAAGTGACCAGAGTGAGCTGACCAGCGCAATAC